GAGGGGTCTCTGAGCGCGGCCCCTCCCCCCTGCGCCCCCGCCTGCGCTGCGGTGCCCGGGTCCCCGCGTGGCCCTGTCAGTCTGTCCGTCCGTCCGTCCGCGCCCAGGCCTCGCCCCACCCCGGCCCTGGGGCTGCCTGGCTGCTCCCCTACCCTCCGCAGCGGACCCCGTCCTTCTGGGCTAGTCTCCTTCCGAAGGCCGGGAAGCCAGGTGCGCCACTGCCACCCCGGACCCTTGGCCCACACCCCGGCATCAGGGGCTTGCACCCGGCGATTGGATCTAGAGAACCTGACACCCGAGCGTGGGACCACGATCTAGGACCAGCACCCCGAGATCCTGCCTTGGAATCCTAAGACCTGGACCTTGAACATCAATATCTGAGGCTGGAATTCTGACATCCGTTCCTGGGACCCCAAGATTTGGAAACCGAATCTCACGATTTTGGAGCATGGACCCCAAGATTTGGAGCTGGGACCCCCCAAGATTTTCTATCTAAAGCCCCAAATTTGGAGCTGAACTCTGAATTGTCTGACTGATACCTTGAGATCTGGAAGCAAATGCCCAATTCTATACCCTGGACCCCACTAATTGGGAGCTAAGCCCTGGAATTTAGGCCTCCAATTCCCAGATCTGAACCCTGGGATTTCAAGGGGCCTGAACCCGACTTTGGGCCTGAGGTCCTTGGTGTATACCTGAATGCTGAAATCTGGGGTTAGAGACCTCCAAATCTTGACTCGGCACCCTAGTATCGGAACAGGATCCTAATACTGGATTCCAGGACTGGACTTGGGACTCAGACTTTAAACTTCCCCATTAGGCTTTTTAGCATCTCAAGACTGGTGCTGGAAGAGATTGATACTAAACAACCCCTGGGACCTTTGTCTTTAAAACCGGACCTAGAGACCAAAATTTAGTGGTATGGGACCAGGAGCATCAAGGTTTGCAGATTCTATAACTACAGATTTGACCTGAGACAGGACAGTCCCTCTCTGTACAAGCCTTTGTGACAGGGAAGGCATGACCAGATGCCCCCTCCAGAGTCCTGACCTCTGACCCCCTTGGAGCCTGAGGACTCTGCTCCCTGGGTGGTTTCCAGCTCAGGTAAGGCCACTGAAAGACATCCTTGGTGGGGAGGGATTTGAGGGTGGGGGTGGGGAGCCTTGGGCTACAGGTGGAAGGTGAGGGCCAGGTGCCCTTTGGGAATTTTTTGGATTTCCCTTGGAAAAAGACACTGTCCCATAGGTCTGCTCTAACACTCACTAGACACATGGGGCATGGGTCAACTCTGCCTGTCTCTGACCTCTTTAGCCCCAGTTGATGGCATTTCCAGACCTGATGCCACCGCCCTTCCAACTTCTTAGCATCTGTCCATCTGAGCATCTCCAGTCCTCTCTCTGGCCCACGGCTGGCCCCCTTTCTCCATCTCTCCTCTCAGTGACCGTTTCTGTTCACCTTTCCTCTTTGACCAGCTTTGATACCCCTGTCCACAGGTCCTTTCTCCAGCCACATCTGTCTGTGGTCTCTCTCACCAGTGACATCTCTGTCACTGTCCGTCTGACCATCTTCCACTAACTCCCTCACCCTCTGTCCACCCCCTAGCTCCTAGGCTGGGTCTGTGACTATTTCCAGCCATGTTTAACATCTCTACCCTCTTCCCTCAGCCACCCAGCCCATCTTTGCTTTCTGGCTTCCTCTGTGCACCTTTCCTCTCTGCCCACAGTCCACCATCTCTCTTTCCCTCCTCCTACCCCTGATCCTAACTTTCAGTCTACCACCATCTGACCATCTTTGACCATTTCCACCTTGACTACCTCTCTTCCTTTGATGACCCCCTCCGCACACCTGTCACCCTGACCAACTGCCCTGGTTCCCTACTGGTTTTGATATAGCTCTCCTTTTTGCTCCCTCTGGTCCCCTCACTGGTTCTTGACCAGATGTGATCCCTTTTTCCTCTCTCTTGGATGGACCACCTCTGACCCTCTCCCCTCTCTTTGGCTCACCTTTTCACCTTTCTCATCATCCCTACCACCCACACACCCACCCCTCCTGTCTGTGACCATCTTTGACCATGTCTAAAGCCTCCTAGCTTTCCTCCTCCGCATCTCAACGAGCTCTCCTCTTGGCTTCCCATCTCTAGCCAACTCTCTTTCCTCTGACCATCATCATTCATGCCTCCTCCCTCTGTGCCTTCATGACACATCTCTGACCATCTTCTCGCTCTAAATGGTGTCTGACCTTCCTTTCTGACCATCTCTACTTCTTTGGGGGTTTTTGTTGTTTTGTTTTGTTTTGTTGCTGCTGGCTTGGAACTCACTATGTAGACCAGGCTGGCCTCAAACTCAGAGATTCACCTGCCTCTCTTCTGCCTCCTGCATACTGGGATTAAAGGTGCGTGCCACTACACCCAGCTGTCTCCACTTCTTTGAACCCATTATGTCCATCTCTCCTGGTTTCAGATCACCCCCAACCCCTCCAAGGGCTTTTCCTCTGGCCCCAGCCAGCCCTAACACCTCCCTTCTTCCCTACAGGCCAACCCTGCCCGCAATGGCCGTCCTCCCATTGCTTCTTTGCCTGCTACCGCTGGCCCCTGCCTCGTCTCCACCCCAGCCAGCCACATCCAGCCCCTGTCCCCGCCGCTGCCGCTGCCAGACCCAGTCACTCCCCCTAAGTGTGCTGTGCCCAGGGGCGGGCCTCCTGTTTGTGCCACCCTCACTGGATCGCCGGGCTGCTGAGCTGCGCCTGGCAGACAACTTCATTGCGGCTGTGCGTCGTCGTGACCTGGCCAACATGACGGGCCTGCTGCACCTGAGCCTGTCTCGGAACACCATCCGCCACGTGGCAGCTGGCGCCTTCGCCGACCTCCGTGCCCTGCGCGCCCTGCACCTAGATGGCAACAGGCTGACCTCGCTGGGCGAGGGTCAGCTGCGTGGCCTGGTCAACCTGCGCCACCTTATCCTGAGCAACAACCAGCTGGCAGCCCTAGCAGCTGGTGCCCTGGATGACTGTGCAGAGACCTTGGAGGACCTGGACCTCTCCTACAACAACCTTGAGCAGCTGCCTTGGGAGGCTTTGGGTCGCCTGGGCAATGTCAACACTTTAGGACTTGACCACAACTTGTTGGCTTCAGTGCCTGCTGGCGCCTTTTCCCGCCTGCACAAGTTGGCACGGCTGGACATGACCTCCAACCGTCTGACCACCATCCCTCCCGACCCACTCTTTTCACGTCTGCCACTGCTGGCTCGGCCCCGGGGTTCACCGGCCTCTGCGCTGGTGCTGGCTTTTGGGGGAAACCCACTGCATTGCAACTGTGAGCTGGTGTGGCTACGACGCCTGGCTCGAGAAGATGACCTCGAGGCCTGTGCTTCGCCCCCTGCTCTAGGAGGCCGCTACTTCTGGGCTGTGGGTGAGGAGGAGTTCGTGTGTGAACCACCAGTGGTAACCCACCGTTCACCACCCCTGGCAGTGCCTGCCGGTCGGCCAGCTGCCCTGCGCTGCCGGGCAGTAGGGGACCCAGAGCCCCGAGTGCGTTGGGTGTCACCTCAGGGCCGACTGCTGGGCAACTCGAGCCGTGCTCGTGCCTTTCCTAATGGGACATTGGAGCTGTTGGTCACCGAGCCAGGAGATGGCGGAATCTTTACTTGCATTGCAGCCAATGCTGCTGGTGAGGCCACGGCTGCTGTTGAGCTGACCGTGGGTCCCCCTCCACCCCCCCAGCTAGCCAATAGCACCAGCTGTGACCCCCCGCGGGACGGGGATCCTGATGCCCTCACTCCGCCCTCCGCTGCCTCATCCTCCGCCAAAGTGGCCGACACCGTGGCCCCTACTGATCGTGGCATCCAAGTGACTGAACATGGAGCCACAGCTGCTCTTATCCAGTGGCCAGATCAGCGGCCTATCCCAGGCATCCGCATGTACCAGATCCAGTACAACAGCTCAGCAGACGACATCCTTGTCTACAGGTGCAGGAGCAGTGGGGAAGCTTGGGTAGGGGAACGAAGTGGGTCTGCCTGTGAACACCCCATAGTGGAGCACACCAGAGAAATAATGCTACAGATTACAAAGGAAACCAGAAAGTGAAGGCAAAAGAAATCAGGCAGTGAGGATAACCAGAATCAAGCAGAAAGGGTAAAAAATGTGAAGGCAGTGCTGAAAGGAAATGAGACAGCAAATGTTTGAATAAGCGGGCTTCCAGGCTAACACTGTCACTCAGTAAAGTCTGGCTGCAAAGGTAAAAAAGAAAGAAGGCAGCCAGAGTAAATGGGGATAAACTTACAAAGAAAATTAGGCAGCAAGAAATAAAAACAACCAGGCCAGAAGAATAAGAAGTTAATGGCTAATGGGGGTGGCGGTATAGCTCAGAGATAGAGTGCTTGCTTAGCATACACAAGGCCCTGGGTTCCATTCCCAGCACTATTTCCCTCCCAGAGTTAATGAGGTATAGGGGAGGGACCAGAGGCTAAAAACAGATTTTAGCAGTAAAAACCAGGTTTTTCAGAAAATTCCTTGATATAAGCCAGGCTACAAGGGGGGAAAAGTGATTAACGAAAGTCAGAAGCAGGAGGATTGTGTTAAGTTCAAGACTAGCCTGGTCTACATAGGGAGTTTGAGCCTGGCCAGAGATACATAGCAAGACACTGTCTCAGAAAGAGGAGGCTGGAGGGAGAAATGAAGTAGCTATTACAAGGCACTGAGAGCAGAGGTTAAACGGAAAATTGGGAGGAGGAGGTTAAATAGAGATTAGGCTTCAGGTTCATGCAGTGTGAGCCCTATGTGTCAGAGTTCTAATTAGGGTGACATCTAAATTTGTGGTTCACTAAATCAGATCTAACCTAGGTCAGATGTGTCGGTGCCTGTCTGTCTGTCTTCTAGCACTCAAGAACCCTGAGACAGGAGGATGGCAAGTTCAAGGCCAGCCTGGGCTATATAATGAGATCTTGTCTCAGACAAACAGGCCAAAGCCTAATCTACCTGATATGTGAGCAGAAATCCCAAGTTTAGGGCTTTCCTTCTCTCTCCCATAGTTGCAAACACAAAACAAGGAATTTACATACTCCAAAAGGCGAGTCAGTATAACCTCTGTCCCCAAGCCAGACAGACAGCACTTGGTCCATCTGCTGTGACCACAAGTGACCAGAAGTGGTGATGGTTGGCATAGGCAGCTATGGATGGCTCCCTGTCCTCACTGTCAGACTGGCCCTAGAGTGTAGCCCCAAACTGACTGAAAGAACTTGGCTTCCCAAGGGTTGGGTCAATACTTTGCAAACCTGGACCCCTCTGTTTCCCTAGGCCCACACATCAAGATCTCAAGAGAGCTTTTCAGCCCTGATCCTGCTTCTTCCTGTTGTTGTTACTGGGGGTCTTATGTAGCCCAGGCTGGCCAGGAACTGGCTATCTAACCAAGAATGATATTGAGCTGATCCTCCTGCCTCCACCTTCCCAATGCCAGAATTACAGGCATGGACCATTTTACTTGATGTTTCCGCTCCTTTTGGGGGCGGGGGTTGGGGGTAGATTTGAGACAGGGTCTCCCTATAGCCCCAGCTGTCCTGGAACTTGCTATGTAGACCAGGCTGGCCTTGATCTCACAGAGATCCACCTGCATCTACCTCCCGAGAGTTGAGATTAAAAGTGGGTGCCACCATGCCAGGCTTTTCAACTTCTTTTTTTGAGACAGCATTATTCAGGAGATTGCATGAAAGACCATCACACAAGCCTGGGTCTCCTTGCCTGGTGGGACGCCAACAAACACTGTCTCAGAGATGGTCGTCCTATCACCGGAGATCACAGACTTCCTTGTTCCATTGTCACTAAAGCAGTTTAGGTTAAATCTCCATCAGGAGAAAAAAGAGATACAGTGGAACTGGGTGGTAAGGGTAAAAGAGAGTGGAAGCTGGGTGTAGCGGCTCACACCTTAATCCCAGCACTGGGGAGGCTGAGGCAGGAGGACAGAGTGTTCCAGGTCAGCCTGAGCTATTGCATAGCCAGAACCTGACTCAAAACAGCTAAAAAGGGGGAGGGGGGCAGTTAAGGCTTAAGAGAAACCAAGCAACAGAGATTTAAAAAAAAAGAAGAGATGGATCGCGAAAGAAGTAAGGCAACAGGGAGAAAAAGAAATGAGTGGTGGTGATTCACATGAGCGGGCTCCCTGGAAAACACTATAGATATGATGATAATTATAATAAGGCAACGATGCTAGGGGGAAATTTTTGGCAGGAATCAGGCAGCAGAAGTTCAGGGAAATTGGGTAGTTAGGTTAGAGAAGATTCAGCTACACACTAGAGGAAAGTCAAACAGCTGGACAAGGGAAATTAGAGGCTGGAGAGAAGTGGGTGCATGCCTATAACACCTGAACTTGGGAGTTGGAGGAAGGAGGATCGGGAGTTCCAGGCCAGCCTCGGCTACGAATCGAGCCTAAACTATGTGAGACCCTGTCTCAAAACAAATGAAATAAAGTTAGTCAGGAGTTGGAAGGGTATGGAGGGAGGGTTTGGAGGAAAACCTGCTGGGAGGTTGGGAAGAAGGGAGGGTTGGGTAGGTGTGGTGTCAGAATGCATTCTGGAGGCTGAGGCAGCAGGATCACAAGTTACAGGACAGACAGCCTGGGCTACATAGCAAGACTGAGGAGCGGGTAGAAATCAGTTGGGGTTAGAGCAGGCTGGGGCAGTGAACTGAGCAGGTTGTCTTGTGGAGAGTGGGAGGGATCTTAAGTGGTGAGGGGCAAAGGACTGGGGCAGAACTGGGCCAGGAAGCTAGCTAGAAATTGAACTTTGGACTTGAAGAAAGTTAGGGGCTGATGCAAGACAAGAATTAGGCCATTGGGAATAAATATTATGATAGGAATGAAAGAACTCAGGCAGTGGGCCTCAGAGAAATGGGGTGTGGGACCCACAGGAGAGCAAAATGGGGGGCTTGGGTGACAGGTGGGTGAGCTAAAGTGAAATTGGCCAACCCACTAGAGGGGTATCAGTTAGCTGTTAAGTAAAGGAAATCAGGGTGCTTGTTAGAGGGAACTCTGGGCTAGGGTGAAATGAGGCAACCAACTGCAGGGAACCTAGTGGCGGGGGACGACGACACCCTTCAGTGTGGTCAAGGGCAAAGGGTGGGTGCTGGGCAGCTACAGACCTGACCTTTCCTCCTGCCCCTCCAGGATGATTCCAGCGGACAGTCGCTCGTTCCTGTTGACTGACCTGGCATCAGGCCGTACCTATGATCTGTGTTTGCTTGCCGTCTACGAGGACAGTGCCACTGGGCTGACAGCCACACGGCCTGTAGGCTGCTCCCGCTTCTCCACAGAGCCCGCACTGCGACCATGTGCTGCGCCCCATGCACCCTTCCTGGGTGGTACCATGATCATCGCCCTGGGAGGCGTCATCGTGGCCTCGGTACTGGTCTTCATCTTCGTGCTGCTTTTGCGCTACAAGGTGCACGGCGGCCAGCCACCAGGCAAGGCCAAAGCCACTGCACCTGTCAGCAGCGTTTGCTCCCAGACCAATGGCGCCCTAGGCCCAGCACCCACAGCACCTGCCCCTGAACCTGCTGTATCCAGGGCCCATACCGTGGTCCAATTGGACTGTGAGCCCTGGGGGCCCAGCCATGAACCTGCGGGACCCTAGTTGGGTGGACATCCACCTCTATGGCACCTCTGGCCCTAAGGACAGCAGGATCTGGACACCCAACGGGACCTGGCCTCAGACTCACCAAATTGCTCACGGTTTTTAAAACTCTGATGGGGAGGGTGTCAGGGGCACTGGGGCACAACAAGAAAGTCCTATTTTTCTAAGCTTGCCCTTATTTGTGTCTGTGGAGTCTGGGGGGATGCTACAGGAGGCTGGCACTGAGGAATACTTCTCCAAGGAAAGATAATCCCCCTGCACTTCAGCCTGGGGTCCCCTGGATGGTCATCCAATCAAACAACAGATGCTCTATGGGTGTCCATATAGGCATTCCTAGAACTCAGTGACTCAAACAGCCCTGCATCCTGAAGTCTAGTGGGAAGTATGCTTTCAGATAGCTGTAGCCCAGAGAGAGCAGGGGGGATGAGGGAAGCCCAGGGGCCAGGGTAGCCCAGAAGAGGTACCTGCCACAACCTGGGGTGTAGTCAGGGAAGGCTTCCCGGAGAAGAAGGTATGTGCTCTAAGGGAGACATCTGAAGGAGATCACTGGGCAGAGAACCGAAGGAAAGTAGTTCCAGGTGGAGAGCACAACATAAGCAAGGGTTTAATATTACCAGGCAAGCGGGGGCTGCTGTGGTAGAGCTGAGATCAAAGGGGTGAGCAGAGTCAGGACCTTTATGTTGAGTGACTCAGGCTTTCACCTGATCAATGCTGACGGGAAACCATGGAGGAGTCTGTGCAGGGGAAGGGAGGGTTAGGTTTGGACTTCAGGAAGATCTTTCTGTGCTGTTTGAGGAGGATGGAACAGAGGGGGAGACTAATGCTGGGAACTCAGGGAGAAGCCAGGGGCAGTCTGGGTGGGCCAGGACCAGTTTAGACCATGGACAGCTGGGAAAAAGGAAAAGGGGCTGGGTGACAGAGACATGGATTGAAGTCACGGGTTTCAGAGTCAAGCGACCTTGAAGGGACTGTCCAGAGTGAGACCCCAGGCCCTGGCCAGGGGAGGGAGTCCACACAGCTGCCCTAACTCAGGACCACAAAGCCGGGCATGCCTGGGAAGGATGCTGTGGTCAGTGTGGGACTCTTAAGTGTGGGGGCAGAGAATGGCTAGTGGATAATAGAAATGACTAGAAGCTTTAAATAGGAGCAGAAACCAGGGCCTTGCAGGCATGGTGGCTCACACTTATAGTCCCAGTACCCAGGAGGCTGAGGCAGGAGGATTACAAATTGAAATCCAGATGGGCTACAGTGTAAGACACCGCCCCCCCCCGCAAAAAAAAAGAGGACTTAGGGAGGGGTCCCAAGATTAAGCCATTGGGAGTTTCTGTTTTTGAAGGAGGGATAGAAACCATCTGACAGGCCAAGGGGAGAAAAAAAGCAAGGCCCAAATGTCTGTTGTGTTTACGAATGTAAAGGTTGCAGTGGCTCCAGCAAGAAAAGTGTTAGGGAAGGGGGGCAGGTGCCATGTTGAGCTGATGCAGTGTGGCAGATATGTCCTCTGGCTGCAGCCTGGTTCAGGGTGACTCAGAGCATTTGGTTTCATGTCTTTCCAGAGCTCATCCCCACTGTTGCCCCAGGCCTCCTCACACAGCAGTCCTAGAAGTTTATAGGACCACACACTGGGTGTGAGAAAGGTCAGACCACATTAGAGATCCGGGAATGGGATTGGTAACTGATCCAGCAGCCTCCTTAATGCTGGGTCCAGGTGGGAACATGGAGGAAACGTGGGATCCATCAGTCATCAGAGGGAGGTGGTGTCAGGAACAGGCTGCAAAGAGCCTAAGACTGGACTGGCATCTCATGGCCTGGACCACAAGACGTTTGGATATGATGGCAGAGCCTAGATGCATCTGTTTCTATGGTAGGACTTGAGACCTAGGAAATACCCACCCTCAGCCATGGGAAAATGGGGCCAGATCTAGTCCCCAGTCCCTGAGCAGCATCCTGAGGCCCTTTGTCCTGTCATATGACCTTAGCCGCTCAAGGGTGAAGTTATCAGCAGAAGTCAAGGTGTGGATCTTGGGCAATGGGACATAGAGACTGAGTAGAATGGTTAGGGCCCCTGCCGGGTAGGAAATACCAGCCCATCACCTGGAACATTTGTTGGGGTCATAAATGTCAAATAGTCATAAATGTGAAGCTAAGGGGATGTATGGGAGAAACGGAATTGTGAGACTGTAATCCAGGGACCTGACCCAAACTGAGAGGCTGGGGAAGGCATCCTGGAAGTAGTGAGCCCCTGCTGAGCCCTGAAGGGTCCTCCAGCTACTAGCAAGGGGTGAGACAGGCATTCTGTGTTCCCGGAACAGCATGTGGTAAGGAATACATCACGAATAAAAAGAAGTGAAGGAGGCAAGAGATGAAATAGGGTGAGGGAAGGTGAGCAACAAAATACTGCGGCTGGAAAGGGGCAGGCAGGAGGAAGGTGATGTAAGCACTATAAGCTCATTAGAGCAGTATGGATTTTATTCTAAGTGACATGAGACACCATTGAAAGAATCTTGTATTTGTCTGAGATAGGGTCTCACAACATTAGCCTAGGCTTGAACTTATAATACAGTCCAGGCTGGTCTTGAACTCATGATCCTCCTGCCTCAGCCTCTGGAATACTAGGATTACAAGCATGTGCCATCACACCTGGCCACTGGAGGGTTTTAAGCTATGAGGAAAGTAGTCTTCCCAGATTGCAAGGAAGCTTCCCAGATTGGAGATCTGTGTGTGGAGGGCAAAGGAGAAGGAGGGAAACCAGAGAGGAGGATACTGCACCAGTCCTAGCAGAAGGCTAAACTATACCAAGTTGGGCTTGATGAGAGATGTGAGACATTAGCAGGCACCTCCCTTCCCTACCCAGCAGAAGACAGTGTGGACTACTAGCCACTGGCCCAGAGCAGAGGGAAGAATATAGGAACCAGGGAAGAAGAACTGATGGCTCTAGATCTCCAATCCCAGAACCCATCCCATAGGTGGGGCAGCTGATTTGTCTGTAATTTCAAAACAAAGGACCTTTGCCAGGTCTCAGAATCAGAATCTGTCAGCCAGCAGTTGGAGGCTGAAAAAATAGAGGCTGAGGCTGGTCAAGTGAATTCAGGCACAGTAAACTTCAGGCCAGAGCAAGGACAAACATCCAGTGGCAGCTTACCACAAATGTAGAAGCCAGGAGAATAGAAGGAGATTGCTGGGGCAGGCAGGGCCCCCAGAGCAGGACACTTGGACCACTCCTCAACCCCTTGCAGAAACAAATGAACACAGCATTTAGGATTTGAAGTTAAGCGACCCTGTCCAGCCTTGCCCAGCCGAGACTACAGTATCTTGAGGTTAGAGAATAGGCATCTACTGCTCATGTCCCATCTGATTTTGGTGAGTGCCCTGCACAACTGGGGACCAAACCCAGGCTACTGAGACATTGTCTCCAAGTGACTTCAGTCCTGATTACACACTGCCATGCCTTACCATGAATCTTGATTACACCCAGGCTGGCATGAGCCCTGCACATCAGGAGATACCCATAGTCCCCTGCAAGGCTCTCCTGAGGCCAACTTTTACAGCTTTCTCTATGGGCTTATAGACAAGAAAACCTGATGGAGTGGGATGGGCAGCTTGTAAAGACAGCCCGCTCTCCTCTAGGTGGTAAAACCCAGTGACCCTGCCTGTGGTTCCTCACCAAAGTCTGGGCTCTCACATACCTGGAGGGGAGTCAGTACTTGATGTTACTCTTGTCTTGGTGGGTCTGGAATGCTGGGAATAGTGGTGAGGAATAATCCAGGCCCCTGACCCCTCAGTTCTCATGGAATAAGTATATTGGGATGGGAGCCAGAGTTGTCTGGGCTGAGAAAGGGCAGGCAGGCGCGATGGTGGCCTGTTTCGACTTTTAGTGTTTTGAAACAGGATCTCATGTAGCCCAGCCTGGCCTTGATCTTCTGATTCTCCTGCCTCTACCTCTCAAAGTGTTGGGATTATAGGTGCCACTATGCCCAGTTGGTATCCTGTTTGTGTGGAAGCCCAAAGGACTTCTGGAGCCCACAAGAGCTTCTGAGTCTGATGGGAGCTGGGGAAGAGTTTACAGTTTGCTGAAGACAGGGCTCACTTTATGACACTGTGACCTGTGGAGCTGCCTGGTGTTCCATGCTCACAATGGTTTAATAGCTTGCTGTTGCCATCTTTCTTTTTTTAAGACAGGGTCTCACCTACACAGCACAGGTTGGCCTTGAACTCATATTCCTCCTGCCTCATCCTCTAAGTGCATAGGCATGGTTCATAGGCATGGACCACCACAGCCAGCTCCCATCTTTAAATTCTTAATGAGTTTTGAATGAGCCTACCACCATTTTGCTTTTGCCTCGGGCCCTTCAAATTATGAAGGCAGTTCAGCCTGAAGGAGAAGATGCTGGATGAGTGTCTGAGGACCAAAGGCAAAGAGGCTCTCCCAAACAAAGACCATCACCTATTAAAGGCAATAAAGAAGCATCCACGGAAGCTGGGTGTGACTGGAGCATCAAGTGGGAGAATGGGGCAATGTGACAGGTGACTTTGCCTGTCTTGCTTAGATGAGAAGCTCTGCTGCTACCCCAGGGCACTGTGGGGCCAGTGAGGAGGCTGAACAGTGGAAGGACAGCATGTCATTTGGGCGTCAGGGAGCCACCTGGCCACTGTAGGAAAAGCAGTTGAGGCACGTGGCCAAGAATAGGGGAGTCGGTGGGGGGCGAGGGCTGCTTCCCAAGGTGACTGGGAATGTCCATGACCCTGAGGAAGGACCTGGGAAGGGATATCAAAGGGGGAAGAACCATGAATGCTTGGGGACAGGCACCTGAACAGGAACACTGGGCACTTTTGGTCCCAGAATCAAGTCAAAACTTCATTTTCACTTGCAAATTTTCACTGTGGCCGTGGGGAGGAAACACAGAAGGGCCACTTATACAATGTGATGGTAAGTACTGGAAAATCCTTGCATATGAGCTCCCATGGATGCACTGGTGGAGGAGAATGCAAAGCTAGCAAGAATTCAGAGTATAAAATGTGAGACTTCAAAGGATTGGATTCTGGTTGCATTCTGGCTCCAACTCCATGGACCCCCAGGGGCACACTACACTCTCCTCAGCCCTCAGGACACAGCAGCGGCTTCCCAGGAATGTCAGCTCCCTCTAAATGCTATTTCTGCCCCCAGGGCTAGGAACT